TCCTTATAAAAAATATTTTTTTCCCTTCTAGATTCGAACTACTCTGGAAAAGATCCGAAATCAAATGTTTAAAGATGACATAGGACATAGCAATGCAAATTACAAGTTAGAGGCAGAGGTAATAAATGTATGCAAATTTATTACTTCTATTCTTTCAGAACATTAACATAAATCTATACAGATTTTTATTTAACTAATTTCTGTGGAAGCCATTATTCTTTGAAGCAGAGTGAAAGAATGCTTCATGCATATCTAATATCTAGAGATGTTAATGGTCATATATGTGCAGTGTTTGATCATGGATATCATTAATGAGATCATGTCAGAATGGTCAGATCTTGCTAAAATATTTTATTTTTATTAATTCTTTGAGAATTTCACACAATATATTTTGACCATATTCAAACCTCTTCCCCTTAGCTCCTCCCACACCCTTGTCTCCCTTACTACACCCCACTTTGTGCCCTTTTTTAATATAACCCATTGGCTTTAATTTGTTCTGGTGCATACACTTCTGGGTGGGGGTCATCCACTGGAGCACAGTCAACTTACCAGGAACTATACCCTTAAAACACTGACTCTCCTTCCCCTCAGGCTATCAGCTCCTCAGTTAGGGGTGGGAACTCATGAACCCCTTCCCAGTCCATGCTAGAATGTTGACTGGTCTGATCTTGTGCAGGTCTTGTACAGGCAACCACAGCTCCTATGAGGGTGTGATATAGATGTCCCATTTGTGGCTGGATGCTCAACAGTTATTTATTCTTGCACTTTGACTGATTGTGAGTTTCTACATTAACCATCATCCACTGCAAAAAACAATCTTCTCTGATGAGATCCCAGAACTGCATTAATCTAATCTATAGGAATTTAGAAGGCAGTTTGATACTATGTCTACTCCTGGAGTCCATAAGCACCCCAACCATGGATTCTTGGCCACATTTTCAGTGTCAGATGTGTTTCCTTCTGTGGTGCAGTCCTTCAACTCAATCACAAAGTAGTTGGTTACTCCATAACATCGACACCACTATTTCACTCATGAACATATCTTGCCATGTCAGTCATTACTGCAGTACACAGGTATATTAGTTACTTTTCTGTTGCTGTGATAGAAGCACCATGCCCAAGGGAACTTTTTTTCAGTGTTCAAAATTCCAAAGTCTACTATGAGACTCAGGAAATCTCTTTATTGTAATTCTTTATAAAATCAAGAGACAAATTATAGACTTTCAATATACAACGGCACTAAAAATACACTCCAATTCAAAAAGGGAGGAATGCGGGCATAGTGGGAAAAAAAACTAAGGAAGACCAAAATATTAAGGGAAACAGAAAAATAGCACCATATTGGATGACTAGGACTTTAGCTTTTTTTAAAACAAATAAGTTATTGAGAATTTCATACATCCACATAAGGTGTTTTGATCAATTCCATGCCTACTCCCTCCCCTCCAGCTCCTCCCAAATCTCCCCGTCACTTTTTTTCTTATAACTTCATGTACTCTTTCTTCTTCTTTGACTTATTTATTTATTTTTATGGGGCTTTTGGCTACTCTAACATTCCCCCCTCTGAAGAGGTAACCCTAAAATCTTTTAAGGATTAGATACAAGCTCCCAAATACTTTTGACACTTTTTAAAAATTTATTTATTTATTTATTTTTATACCCACTTCCCAGGTAGCACCCTCCCATAGCCTCCCTCCCCTGACTAGAGTCCTTATACCCTGATATCC